GTTTATTACTCAAGAAGCTTTTAACCATTAGGGAACATACAGGCTTTGGCCATGACCATAACATAGCAGTGTCATTTCGCAGCAAAACCATCCAGTCAAAGAGTATGCGTCACGTCCATGTCGGCGAGAAATCAATCGAGAATGAATTGTAGTAATACATTTAGCAAGACATTTGCTCTATGAGCTAAAGTTATTCTTAAATTTACCATCCTTGCCAAAACGTTGCAATGTGTGGATGGATTTTGGTTTTAAGTTTTTTGTAACAGCTTTCCTTTTAAAAATTCAAACTCTTGATAGGACTTGAGTTTAGATTTTTGAATGAATGACTTTAGAATATTTAGGGCATTTTGAAAATTAAATCTCTTTTCAGTTAAAATTTCCTATCAACATGGCTATTGTCAAAGTGTTTGAGCCCTTTTAGCAAATCGGCGAAGCAATCTTAAATCTCGTATTTAGGGGCGTGACATAAAGTTAAGCACATGCGAAAATAGTTTCAAGTTTGATTAGGCATCCCTTGTTGTCATCAAATTTAGCATTTATATTTAATCTTTCAAATATGAATGAAAGGATAGGAGGCATACCTATTTAAGGTCATCAAATCAGTCGGCACTCTTTTATGAGGTGAATAGGTAAGGTAACCCTATTAATTGCTTAAATTCTATTCGTCATCATTTGAGAAGTCTTCTTAATGCCTATTACATGTTGCATCCTAAGTAGCTCCAAGTGGCATGCCCACAAGACCTAGATTATTTAATGTAATAAATCAAACCAATAACTAATCCAATGGGCCCAATTCATTATCTCATTTGCATCATCATTTCCCTAGACTTCATTATTGGAAAGCCTCCTAGATCCTTAACCTCTCAAAATCTCCCTTCCAATAATCTCCAACCTCTACATGATAGTCCAATAATATCCAACCTATTACATGTTCTTCAAAAACTGCAGATAGTGGACCAAAACAAAGGTTTTTTGCATTCTGAATGAATTTTGCAATCTTTGAGAAGGGAAACATTTTATTTTTTTATACTAAATTAGATTTGTAAAATTTTATTATTATTATATTTTTTTATTTGTTTTAAATTAATTATGCGGATGATCCTTTGTCATTTAAATTTTGGCACCCTCTTGCATCTACCCCATTTTGGGGGCGTCGAGCAGGCATTCGCTTTTTGTTCTTCCCGGTTGAATCAAATATACGACGGACATGGCGTCTTCATATAATTCATGATCTTCCCAGCCAGATCAAAGATACAATGGACGTGGGGTCTTCTTTTGTTCTTGTTATTCTTCTGGCCGGATCAAAGATATGACGGGCGCAAGGTCTATTGTACCTATTGTTTAAGAAAGCAAGAAAACATTTATACTTTTCAGCCTAGAAATAGTGATGACGACGGCGGTAAGTCGAGTGGCTAGGGTAATATGATTGTAGAATGACGACAGGTTAGATGTGTGCGCATGTTGGGAGGGATGGTTGCATCTGGATTGATCGAGCATGAGGAAGGATCGCGGGAGAGGGACAAGCGGAGTTGGGTGCGTGCAGTTCCAGTGTGCGGTTGTGGGCTGGGAATGAGACGATGGTGTTGACCTGAGCAGGTAGGCCGCTCGGCAGGTAGGCCGCTCGGACGTGTGCTTCAGTCGAGTAAAGATTGAGCGAGAGAGGGATGAGCAGGGTTGACTCTATGTACGATCATGCAAACAAAAAGAGAGGGAGCCAAAGTTCATCTTTGCGCGCTGAAAAGAGAAGTCAAGAGGGCATGAGTGGTCTTCGGCAGAGTCTTTTTACGAGATGAGTGTTGTAAGGAGTTAGGTTAGTTGGTAGTTATGAGGAACGGGGTTAGCAGCAACATCTATCACATTGTGTAGCAACAACATATATCAAAACGAGCCAAATGAGTTATTATGCAGTTCTTATTTCTGAAGATTTAGAATCATAGGCTACCAAGCTATTCAATATCTTTTTTTGTGTATATTTCATCTCTAGCAAATCTTACTTATTGACATTGATGAACTCATATCATTATTTGTTAAAATAATACTTCAAACAAAAAATGTAGCATTTTTTACCATATTTTTTATTTTATCCTTTGTACATTAACCTTTGATGGACATTCTCACTATGAAAAGCATGAATAATTTATCATGTCATAGCAATTTAGTTAACTAGTTTTATTTTTATTATCATTGGCACCAGGATCAATTATTAGTTGTTTATAAAATTTAATTATAGGACTTACCTTTAAGAATTTTATAGTATAGATGATGGTCCAAGAGATCATGGAGCCATCGAGGTCGCAGCTGGAACTTCCTTTGCCAAAAAGACTGGATATCGGGGAACAAGGAAGCTTCAGCTTTTTAATTTTTTCCTGAAAAGCTGTACAAAGTACAAAATCATTAATGTTAATTGAACTTTCTTAATAAAAAAGCTGATATGTTCTATAGATCTTTTAAATGTTATTATTAAATATATTAAATTTGAATAACAGTTTTAAATATTTATTTCACCTGGAAAAAAATATTTTTTAATATTAAATTTTTTTAAACTGGCTCGCAAGCCAATGAGCCGAATTTAATCAAATTCGAACTCAAGTTTATTTAATATTCAAGATCTAGTTTGAGCTCAAGTTCAAGCTTGTGACAAAATAAACTCAACTCGCAAGCTCGTTAGTGTGATGAGCTTGAGCCGACTAAGCTAATTTACACCCCTACTCTTAATCAAATTCATCACCATTCCCTCACCATCCACTTTAAGGAAAAAAAAATATCCCTCACCGTCCACTTTAAGCAAATGATAGTAAATTTTTTTTTTGTCCTAAATCCAAAAACTTTGTTACTAAATGCTAAGCATTTAGCACCTAAAGAATAAAGTAAATCAAAAGTTATCACAAATCATCGAATAAGATGATTAACCATAGAGGCTTGTGCCAATGAGAAACATAGAATCAGGTCATAAAATCCTCAAATAATGAGATTGAAATATATGAGTAATGTTTTATCTTCAATTCCAATATGCTTTCTAGGAAATTGAATGGGAACCCCGACTCTCTCACCAAAGTCGAGCCCAAATTTTCAAAGGCCAAATTATCTTATCAAGTTAAATGATGAGGACATCGCTCAGAGATTCTGACATGTGTACCGACGAAGAAATTGTAGATCGACAGCTACGATTCAGAGTCTTTACTTTTGATGTGTTTTATTTCATTTTCAGTTTTTCCGAGTTTACCCCTGTGGTGAGTGTTTTCTTATTGTAGCCCTTAAGGGCATTTATGTACTTTGCTTTTATTTGTGTTGGAGGCTGTATATAGTGGCCTTATACTTTATAAAAGGATGATGAATGATTAATGAAATTTTATTTTGTCTTCTTCTTCTTGTGAGCGCACTAGAGAGAAGGGAGAGCCCAACGTGTGGGCAAAAGCAATACCCAGCATTCACCAAAAGAGTCTGTGGCTCATGGTCTTTTTATTCTTCTTCTTCTTCGTTTATATTCTGCCTCCGATTATCACCCACAATCTTATCATCATCCTTCCACCTTCATTCCGCCACCAAAATACCCCCTTGAGCTCCACCTAAGTCTCCTTCCACATCCCCACCCGCCGGCCAAGCTTTTGGCCACCCCAACCCGACACCAAGTCCACGGTTTCCCCCTCTTGACCGCCAGCTCCACCCACTTCAAATTCATTATGATGATTTTAAATCGCCATAATGATTCCCTAAATTCGCTCTTGTAATAAAGGAAGGAATTAGATAATTTTGAAATTCAAATTTGAAATTTAAAAACTTTCCATATTTGCAAAAAAATCTAAATAAGAAAAGTTTTCAAATTTGAATCCAATCTAAATTTAATTTAGAGATGAGTCATTATTTTCCCTCCTAATTGGCCAAACTTGTTCGGAAAGAGCATAACTCCCCCACAACCCCCTCCCCCCTCTCTCTTCATGCCATCGGCCCCATCATGGGCTTTTCCCCATTAATCCCCAATTAAAGCCCTAATTGCTATTAATTTGAATTCAAATTTCAAATTATTTCCCTCCATACTTAATTAAAATCTGAAATTAATATCAAATTTGGATTAAAAAACCTTCTTTCCCCTTCCTAACCTAACCTAACTCTCCTTCACCCAAACCGCCCCTCCTTCTCCACCCTTGGCCCCCCTTCTTTGGTGCCTCCTCTCTTGTGAAACCCTAGGTTGCTCATGAATATTGGAGTCAATAGAAGAAGACAAGTTCCTCCTTCGTCATCGTCATTGGTGCATGGCCGATCCTAAGGTCGATCAGGGCCTCGCTTACAACGCCCTAGGGGAAATCGACATCCTCCGCTCCCCCTTCTGCGAGCCCGACTGGGAATACGATGAATCGGTGGAATACTACGTCAACCGTATTCTCTACTGCTTAGAGGAGACGATTGATCTTCAAAATCCCAAGACGCATTGGCTTCTCATTGGGAGATCCACCCCTTCTCCACCCTCGGCTACTTCTCTGGCGGATAAGGCCTTATGCTTCACTTGTCTTGTGGTAACGTCACTCAGTTTGCTTCTACTCTTTCTTCGCTAAACCCACTACAAGAAAGAGAGAAGGAACTCAAGGTGAAACGTCTTGATTTTGCACCGTTGATTTTTGTTTCATCGACATTAATTTATCTACTTACTTTTGCTAAATCGCTTGCAAGTACTTCGTTAATCTCCGTTGTAATTGTTTACTTTACTTAATCTTGTAACGACAAATTCTCAAATCATTTCTTGGTGAAGCATAAGTTTTCCACTAGCAAAGTAAAGTTCAAATTGTTATTAATTTCCAAATCAATTCTTGTGCACGTGTATGTTTCACATCATTAAAACTCAAAACATTTTTGAATAGTAAGATGAGTACTTTGAATCTTTAAAACAAGTAACCTTTAAAGTCAGAATCCCAATAAAGAAAATCCAATGTCAAGTGCAAAATAAACTAATAACTAAAAAATAAAAGAATAAAAGTATGACTAAATAAACAACAGAAAAAGCATACCTCAAGCTCCAGTAATGAAGCCCAACACCTCTTTCTAGGCTGACTAAGGAATTCATGAACATTCAGAGTCCAGGATCTGTCGTTTAAAAGAATATGAAAATAAGGTAAAAAAAATGTAATTGAATTAATCATAGAAAAAACATCTAAAGAAAATTACAATATATAGAATATTCTAAATGTCTTGCATCTTTGACACTAAATTGCAGCAATGATTAACCTGATTATTTTCTAATTGATAAAAGAATACAACAAAACTAAACATATTAGTAACATAAATATTAACAAGTAACAGAAATTCTTTTAAAGAGAACAATATAAAAGTATAATAGAGTGTATCAAGAGAATAAAGTCTCGTATATCTTTACAGTATAACATTACTGAAAAATACTTGTCAACCTTTTTAATATGAAAAGCATGGAGAAACAAATGAAATATGTAAGTAGGTTAGACGTTCAAGAACCTAACCAGTTAGAAAAGTATTTTGTGTCAGGGGATTGACGAAGCATTATGATACGCTGCGCCAAGGGGGGTGGGCACAGCCAGGAAGGGGGAGTTGTTTAGGAATGTTCCTAATCAACGGAGAGCTATTTAAGAAAGTTCCTAATTAAGGAAAAATTATTTAGAAATATTCCTAATCAAGAGGGAGTTGTTTAGAAAAAATTACTGATTGTGTTTATGCTACTTATGAAGTGTTTAATTATTTAGGAATGTTTCCTAAAATATGTTAAATTGTTTAGGAAGGTTTCTTAAATAATGTTTAATTGTTTAGGAAGGTTCTATTTGTGTTATTGTGGCGAAGACTATTTAAGGGGGAGTTTTGATTAAGACTAAGTACCATGATATTGCTAAATTTATTTTCCTAGAATTTGTTATGAGTTCCTAGCTGTGTTTAGGATTTGTGAGAGAGCCGATTTACCTCTCAAATAGTAGATCAATTGAATCTTGCGTTATTTTTGAAGGAGAAATAAGAAAAATCAACCCTATCTTTGTGTTACTTCGTGATTCTTCTCTTTTGTTTGTTGTTTTTATTTCCAAGGCAAATCAAATTGGTATAAGAGCAAACTTTTGGAGAGATGACAGCAAAGAGGGTGGATGTGTTGGAAGGCAAAACGTAGCAATTCAAATCCCACGTGAACGAGAAATTTTCAACCATGGAAGGATGGTTTTCATCCATGGAAAACCGATAGGAAGGAATTGAGGAGATGATGAGGAATCCCTTGGAGATGCAAAAAAAAAAAAAAAAACTCCACCTTCTGATGAATAACCCTAATCAAGATTTGACCAAGATTCTCTTGGCTGAATCAAAGGGAAAGGAGATTGGATAAGAGTTCGATGAGGAGAGTTTCTTTCATCAAGAGCCATCTCCTGTGGCTCCGATAAGGGGCGGATCAGGGTGCACAGATGAGGGAAAGCAATGAGGGAATTTTTTGGTAGAGGTGGTAGGGTAGCCAACCACTATGGGAGGCATTTCGAGCAAAGGGAATGGGTCATCAGAGAAGGAGAGGGTAAAGAGCCACTTCCTATGGCTCTGATAAGGGGCAGAATAGGGTCTTCGGATGGGGGTGGGACGGCAAGAAAAGAGTTTTGTGGTGAAGGTGGTGGGATGGTCAACCACAATAGGAGGTCTTTTGGGCAAGGGTAGTGGACGGCCAGACAAGGAGGGGGACGGGTCGAACCATAGGGATTGGTTCATGTGAGGCGGAGGGAAAAAAGATAGGATTCCCACCCTCGATACACGGGGGAAACGTGGAGGGATCAAGACAATCATTACACTAGAGGAAGAAGCTATTAGGGTGATGGAGATCTTAGGATGGCAATCCTAGGGTCATTGCATCCTATTCTTGTTGTGAAGCAAGCTAAATATTTGCAGTAAAAGCTGCACCTATTCACCCTGGTTCTCAAAAATTTAATTTGTATGGTGGAATAATGGATGCAAATCCACATGTTTTACCCATTCTTGGCAGTTCTCACCATGACACACCATAATCAGCTTCAATTTTGGAGCTCCAGGGTGGAATATTGATGATCTCAACTATACTTAATGGTCAAATGTTGCTTATGGTGTAAGTTTACCCCCAGGGCGTGATTATACGTCAAGGAAAGGTCTTCATAGTTTTGCTGGAATTGTCTACCAAGGGAACATTATTCCACGTGACCATATAAATCTTGGAGTCCCAACAATTGATGAAATACATGGATAGTGCTTGACTTTTATGCAATCCAGAGATACTATAGAGCTCTTTTACAGCTTCCATCGAGGATGTCTCAACCAAGTTTGTTAGGCATAAGTGTGTTGTACATTTTGTTCCCCTTAACTAAAAGCTATCAATTTGTTTTCAACATTCTGGATTTATTGTTCAGAAGGTACTTATCAAGTGAAAGGATTTGTCGAAGCACGAAGCCACCTAAGTAACTTACGAGTTGATCAGGAGACAGTTTCCATCCTTCCACCTTGAGGACGAGGCGCATTTTTTAGGAAGGAGTATTAATATGCCAAGGGCCGGGGGGGGGGGGGCCGTTGCAGAAGGGGGGGGGGGGGGGAGCCAGGAAGGGGAAGTTGTTTAGAAATGTTCCTAATGAAGTGAGAGCTATTTAGGAAAATTCCTAATTAAGGAAAAATTATTCAGAAAGGTTCCTAACAAGAGGGGTTGTTTAGGAAAAATTCTTAATTGTGTTTATGCTACTTAGGAAGTGTTTAATTGTTTAAGAATGTTTCCTAAACTATATTTAATTGTTTAGGAAGATTTCCTAAATCATGTCTAATTGTTCAGGTAAGTTTCCTACCATATTTAATTGTTTAGGAAGATTTCATAAATCATGTTTAATTGTTTTGAAAGATTTCCTAAATAATGTTTAATTGTTTATGAATGTTCTATTTGTATTATTGTGGCCACAACTATTTAAAAGGGAGTTTTGATTAAGGTTAGGTACCATGATATTGTTGAATTATTTTCCTAGTGTTTGTTATGAGTTCCTAAAGGCATCTAGGGTTCGTGGGAGAGCTGATTTACCTCTCAAATAGTAGATCAATTGTATCTTGCTTTATTTTTGAAGGAGAAATAACAAAAATCATCCCTATATTGTGTTCATATGCTTTTCTATTCTTTTGTTTGTTTGTTTTTTTTACTTCCAAGACGCATAACATTATCAAATCAAAAGAATTGCATCTTCATAGTTGACTCATTTAGGAGTTGTTTTGCTGGGGGTGGGGTTAGGTTTAGTGTATTCTAAATGTCACTGCCGCTAACTACAACTGCCCAGCACCCATGCCATCGTCGGCTAGTAGACAGCACCATCATTGGGCCTTCTACTACATTTATTTTACTTCAAGAAAAACAAAAAAGATTAATCACATGCATTTAATTTACACATTCAAACACAAAACATTTCAAATATATTACATTCCTTCTACACTGAATTTTATTTTACTTTATATTCCTCTTTTAGCAAACCAAACAACCACTTAGTCAATGATAAAGAACAAAAAGATTGAAATTGATTAACACGAATGTGACTGAATATTTAACTTAGCCTAGACATGTATCAAGTTGAAATGCTTTAATCAGCAATTTGTACCTGAGTTGGCTTGATACCATAACTAACACAACTTTAACTGGTTGGTTTAGTAAACTACATCAAAAATAATAATTATTAGAAACTTGAACGCATTTTTGCAAATTCATTCTTTCTCAATGGGGAAATAAAACTTCCAATAAACTAACAAATCATAACAACAATCCTAGTTGGCAGAAAGAAATTAAAGATAGACTAATCAACATATCGACGCCAGGATTTCAAAAAGAATGGAGTCTCAGTCCCATATCCGATTTGGAAGCTCATTGTTACAATCGATAGCAAAATCTAGCACAACAAAATAGCCTAAGATTACATCAAACAAGAACCATCTTCTCTAAAGTTAACATCAGGCATATCCCATAATTCTAAACCAAAGTAACGGTAAAGAGGGGGGGAAAAAACTCATAAGAATGGCCTTTCAGTTTATATAGCATATGGGAAATGGAATTAAAATCTAGAGAACTTGTGTGACATCGTCATGACCAACACAACAATGTTATGGGGGAAAAATTTTATTAGGAGGGTAAAGAAACTAACTTATGTTTTTCAATTGAATTTTGAAGGTGAGCAACCATCACAGGATATGGAACCACAGTTTTCTGCAGTTTAAAAGAAAAATTAGTTAGCATCAAGAGCTTAGACCATTACAAAAGTTAGAGTTATAATATTAAAAGTTACTGCTAAAATTCTAAGTACTAATTGCAAGTCTAAGGGAACTAAGTACGCATGGAGTTACCTGAAGTTCTCTCAAAACTTCTTCAGCCTCTTTCAGAGTGCACCGTTTAGAATTCAAAGGCTTAAATAATGTATTTACACCTTTTCCCAGCCAAGTTGCACCTTTTAATAACAACTGAACCAAATTGCAACCTGCGAACATACTTGGGAGATGATGTGCATCTTCAAGTAGGTTATCAACGTCCTAAGCAAAAAAATCATAGTTTTCCATCAGAAAAAAGGAACTAATCTATTAGTACACTTAACACACCCCACCCGCATTAAAAAATAATAATAATAATCATAATAATAATAATTATAACATCAAATTTTTCAAAAACGCTGATTTTCTCCCCCATCCATTTTCCTCTCCAACAAACAATTTTCTCATGAAATAATGCAAACATCTCATGACACTGAGCCACATGAAAGTGTTCATCATCCAAGCAAACTTCTCACATATTTTAACGTTTTATTGTATGTTTGGTGCATGAATATACTCTAGAATACACATGTACTCTCAAATTGATGTGCTAGGTACAAATATTCTAATCTAAGTACTTCGAGCAATGCTCAGTGTTTTTTAGCCATGGTATCACATAAACCTCCCATATATATCGTTCATGGTATAGTGGGAAAACGTGGTAATCTTTCTAGAACCAACTTTGTAAAGCATCCTCAAAATCTACTCAAACATAACCTGAAAAATCTCAACGCTTGAAAGGTCCAAGGCCACCCATGCAGCAAGCCTTGGACCAGCGCTTGAAAGGTCTAGCTCAACCACTAAGTTCCACTTATATAAACTCACCTAAATCTAGCATGGCCCGACTCCCTCACCAAAAAATCACCGCTACCTACCTCTCTCTAAGGCATAATCTCAAGCCCATATCTCACCAGCATCTTGCAAATTCGCAAGACCACTCCATCCACCACACTTCCACCACTACCCGTCATTATCGACATCCCTCTCCTCTCCCTGCATATCATTGTCACATTGTGAACCCTGTCATTAGCCCCATGCCACAAGCCTTGGACCTTTCATTTTTCATTTTTTTTTACTGACAATTATTGATAATTCCCCTTGATGTACTCATATCATTTTATTGCTATGATATAGTGCTTTAATATATATATATATATATATATATATATATATATATATCTTTCCAAACTTTTATGCAAGCTCATCAATATCTTCAGCATCATCAAAAAAGGAAGAATTCCTACACATCACCCACATCTACTGCACAATGTTCATTTAGATAAATTGACAAATTTCTGCTTTCTCAATCACCCTGTAACCCATGAACTCACTTCTACATAATAAAACAAAATTTTAGCATACCGTGTGCCAAATGCCTTCTATAAAACGTAGCCCATCATTGCCAACTTAGCTTCAGCCAACCCTTCCAAACATCCCAATGTTACTTTCCTTCTGCCCCAGTAAACAAAATGTTCTTATAAGTAATTTTACCAGAAGGTTCCTTTTACAAGAAGAACACCACATCGGCACTAGTAACCAAAGATCCCCATTTATCTGGCCCTCTATTTGAATATAATGCTGGATTTCATGTTTTTTCCAGAAGAAACTACATCAAGGTAGTACATAATCTTAAGTAGATTATTAGAATAAATTAAATAAAATACCAATAATTTAAAAAAAACGTTAAAATACCAATAATTTTAAAAAAAAACGTATACAAGGCATATGACTCACATCCAGGAAATTAGAATTATCTTTGTGAAGAAGCATTCAACTTTGAAGTAACGAAATAAATGACAACATTAAAGAGAGAACCAACTGCTAGCAAAACAAATAGACGTGCAATACCTAGGTAGGTGCAGTTACCTTGGCCAGTGGAATCCGAGTGCAAAAAGAAAGAGCACTCAAGGTCCATTGCAAAGTAAAAGTAGCTTGCTGAAGTTTTGGCAATTCACTCAACACAACACACATGGAAATCCCATTTTTAGTAACAGAATTGGCCCTGCAAAGCAACTCCTCGATTCTTAATATGAGGTGATTAACAGTTGTAAAACTAGAAGCCTCCTCTAAAAATGATGTTGCATCTTCAATCAACAAACAGGCATGGTGTTCCCATTCATAAATATCATTTAAAGTCATCTCAAGTCTTTCTGAACTATGCAAATTAACTTTCAAACTTTTAGAAAGTGTAACCAACTCCTGCAGAGTTTTAAAGAATGTTAATTTAAAGCACCAACATATGCCTATAAAAAAGGATGAATAGTGACGACATAATTGAAACCTTTAGATCCTCAATGCCAAGTTCCAGACCCAAATCATCCAAAGCTTGTCTATTGTATGTCAAGAACGGTTGTGACCTACGGATCCATGTCTGAGCCATTGAAATTGCATCCTTGAGATCAGACAGCGAAGGAAGGATAGCATATACATGACTAGAAGCCCTGAAATGTTCAAAAATAGAGAAATCTAGAAAATTTTGTGATTGAATCAGAAGGATCAGTGTTATTAATTTTTTTTTTAATTTCTAACAAAAACCTCAGAACATCTTCAAACTCTGGCATGCTGCCACCATTTGTAAGAAGAGAATTAGCTCTTTTTTCCCATAAAACAGCTTCTGTATCAACTTTGGAAAGCTTCAAAAACAATTTTTCATTCTTGATTTCTAATCTGGAAAGAAATTAGACAAAGGTATCAAGCCAGACAACTCATAGGCAAATAAACAAAATCATTTCATTTTTTAATATTTTATTTCCTTCGCAGGGGTTCGTGGTATCAGGGACTTACAAAGATGCCTCAACCAATACGTCTCTTATGAATTCAAGGGGCGTCTGAAGTTGAAGAGCCTTTAAAGGCACATTCATAAAACACATACATATATCAGAAAATATACCCAAATTTTCAAAAAGTGCATAAACATGGTTATTGGGAGAAAAAAAAAACAAAATTTATAATATTAACAGCTAAATAAATTATTACCCACATCTGAGCATAAAAGGGAAATAGCATACAAAAACATGTTTGAGGAATCATCTTAAATAACATTAATTTCGACCAGGCAATCACTACCTTTACAGCTTTCTCTCTGCAACATGACCTCGCCAGCTCAGCCTCAACGAGTTGCAATTCATCCACTGTTAATGATGGCACAGAATTAAGTTCAAATAAAATAAACATGGAGATGATTAAAACTAATAAATAATCTGTACCTTCAATTCTCAAGAGCTTTCCAGATTTTAAGATGCCAGAAAGCTCTGCAACAACGTTCTCATGGTCTTCCCGATCAGGAAGGTTATCAAGAATATTATAGAAATCATGACTCCATGAACATGCATCAGAGTAGATATGCCTCAAGAGTTCCAATTCTGGAATGCTAACTCGCACTTTATCTGCATCCTTCAAGAAATTGTCAAGTTCCTGCACATCAAAAACACAAAGAGTTCATTAGTAGTTTTACTTGGAAGTGTTCTTCGGAATACAGTGCAGTTGCAAAAACAAGATAAAATTTTAAATACCGTAAACTTCAATTTCTGGGGGAATGTCAAGATCTCCTTGCATCGAGAGTGCAGCAAGTCAACCTCTCTGGAGAAGTTTGCCAGCAAATCCATCTCTGGAAGTTGAACTTGAAGGTCTGCCATCTAATAGAAACAACAAGCCACATAAAGGAATTTGCAAATGGAAAAAAAATCAACGATGTCTACAAGAAGCAAGAGTAAGATAACAAAGAATTATGAGTGCAAACCGATATTGTTAAATGTTAAAACAATATAATTTCCGATTAAAAAAATATTGTTTAAACAATATAATTTCCCATTAAATGTTAAAACTATATAATGTTAAAAAAATGATATTCTAAACTCACGTTTAGAACACGTTCAGATGTGTCCGATTAAAAATAAATTGGAGACGCATGTCTCGGACATGCGTCTTAAATATTTTATGATTTTTTTACAATATAATTTCTTACGCTACAATTGTTTATCTATTAAAAAAAAATAAATTCCTTATTTTCTCTCTAGAACCCCAAATCAATCGCTCATACTTAATATGTCATTCTCCAAGCATTTTCATTTTCATTTTTGTCTCAAAGCCTCATCTTTGTCCTACATTATCTCAGCATCGACGACCAACATCATCTCGACAATGAGAGTCAACACTGTCTTGACATCAAAGTCCAAACAAATGAGAGTCAACACTGTCTTGACATCAAAGTCCAAACATGGATGCTCGACTCTAGACAACATTATCATCTCCCTCTGGATACCTATCACATCGTACACGTCTAACTCTCGACATCCTAATATTAATCATTTTAAGCACAAATCATTGTTAAATGACTTTTTATTTCTCAATTAATTTTAGTACTCTGCTTAATTCAAATTTTATACACTATTTTTAAGATATAAAAATTATAATACCTTGTCTAACTCATGTACGTGTCCCAAATTTTCTATGATTGACATGTCTCATATATGTGTCATATCCGTGTCTGTGCATCATAGATGCGGATCTGTCTTGCTACAGGTTATGACTATCATCCATTGTTAAGATGCCTCAGCTTCACCATGATTTGATGTCTGGATTTGTCTCTAATATTTTTCCCAACGCTTTGATACTAAAAGGCATAGTTTCCTTCAGCATATCTTTTACAGAATTGAGATGCAGCGATGATATTTGTGAAGCAAGTTCATCAGTAGGTTTGATGTAATAGTTTAATCCATACGTGGGAGTTCTTTTCTTTAGTTAACTTATGTGAACACATGCTTCTTTTCTCTGGGCTTGTAGTTAAAAAAAGCTGCGGTTGGTCCGTTTAATCTAAGCTTCACCATTAATTTTTCTTAGCTAATATTTTTAACATACATATAGTTATTGAATAGTCTATCAATTCATTTGTTCTTTGATAATTATGTTTAATATCTATCAATTTTGAAATTATAATAATTTTTGAGTTGAGGCTTCAATTGTTCCATTTTTTATGAGGACATCGGAGATTAGCGGCTACGATTTGAAGTTTATTTTTTTTATGTGTTTTATGTACTAGTTTATTTTATATTTCTGTTTTTTCCCATTTTATCCCTAGGGGTGGTCATGTGGTGTTATAACCCGAAGGGCATTTTAGTTATTGTTTTTTTTCTTCTCATGAGGCCTATTTATAGGCTAGTTCTCTTGTATTTTAGGTTAATGATGAATATGAAAAAAAATTTCAGCTTCCTTGTTCTTGATCTCTTTGTGAGATCTTGAGAGCAGAAACCCTTGGAGAGGGTCATGCATCGCCCATCAGCCGCCGGTGGATTCCGGGACTCGTGGTTAGTACTCAGAGTAATTTCTTATTGCTTCTTCCTTTCCCCTACATTCGGGCACCTCTTCTTCCCCAAACACCCGCCGGCCACTTCAAGTCCCCAAGCCGCCGGTCAACCTCAACAAAATTCCTTCCACTTAACCCACACCCCTTCCTCCTTAGCCAAACGCCACCCAAACTCCAAACCCTAACCGCCGGCCTTCCCCTCCTATGGATCCAAAATTGATTGTCTTGCCTCTTTCCAAAAGTGGAGCATGAAGATTAGGAGGGAGCTCCAACTCAAAATCTGATTTCAAATTCAAATTTTGAATTCTTTGCTAAATTGACATAATCCATATTAGGAAAGTGCTCAATTCGTGGATCTAAGTTACCTAGCCCAAGCCCTTGGCCGTCGGCTTGAAGCCTCCACCCGCTGGCCCCTTGCTCCATCACCTGAAGCCGCCGACCATATCATTCTCCCCCACAATAGTCGCCGGCCACATACTTTTGAATTTGAATCCACCATAAATGCTTTCTTAATTTAGCCACACTAATTTAGGACGAAAATTAAATTCAATTTAAAAATATTTGAATTTCAAAACTCTTCTTAAATTCTCCTCCTTTAATTTAGGAAAATCCCCCAATTAACTTAAATCTGAAATTAATTTCAGATTTAAGTATTCAATCCCCTTAATTGCTTGGGCCCAGCTCTTTAATGTCTAACCCCTCTTTCTCTCTCCTCTCTCCTTGGTCGACCCCTTCCCCCCTCCTCTCTCTAATTAATTAGTTCCCATAAATTAAGGATCTAATTAATTCAATCACATCCCCACCTTCCTTCCTAATTCCCACTTGTTTCAAATTCAAATTTCAAGAAAACTACTCTCTAATTACTCACTAAATCTGAAATTATTTTCAGTTTTAACCATTTTCCCTTCTTCCCCTTTGCTTGGCCGAACCTACCCGATCCCTTTCCCCTCTCACTCTCTACTTTCTCTCTTAGACAATCATGCATGGCTGACCCAGATGTTGATCATTGGTTCGTAGAGGATTCTCTGGACCAGACCGACATTCTCCGATCTCCATTCTTCGATTTCAATTTGGATGTCGATCTCCATGAAAAGCTGCATTGAACGCATCATCCTCACGTTGGCCCCGTCAATTGAGGGACACCTCCCAACCGGATAGTGGATGATCGTGGGACATCAACCAATCCATCCATCGTTGGATACCTTCGGTGAACTCTTTCCCTCACTCTTTATTTTCATCGTTACTTTCAATTGTGAAATTTAATTGATTCACTGAGATCGTATTAATCCTCCGCTAACGCCTAATAAATTATAGAGTTGTGTGAGGGATCCTTTATAGAATTAATTTTAATGTTAGTGTAGGAATTTCTTGTTGAAACTTTCCATATATGCAATGTTAGACTAATTGATTATTTTACGGTGTTAACTCCTACACATGTGATTTAGCCTAAGCTTATGTCACCGCTCTTTGTGTTTTATATTGTCGCTCGAAATCACTATAAAGTAAAAATTAAGTGTGCAATTTCCTTAAACAACTCATCTTCACATGTTTGTTCTACATCAATTTTCCTAAATTTTAACCACTTAAAAAGCAATTTAGGTTCACATAAAAAATGCTCAGAAAACCATCATAAAAATTGCATTTGCAAGATCATTTCATAAGCTATGGACAAGACTTATAAAGGAACTAATATTTTCCATGTAAGATGATTCGGTTACTTAAAACACACCCAAAAGTACACTATCACTGCAGTTACACCAAAAAATCTTGTACTCTTATACATGCTCCACAAATTACTAGTTTCTAAATTTGAATTATAGCGATTAAAATTAATATTTTTTATGTTAAACTTAATTCATTTATTGCAATTTAACATTTGGATGACTTAACTATTTGTAGATAATTGGCGAAAGAAGTGGTTTATCCATAGCAATTTAAGTGGTTTCATGTACATATAAAGCACTTAAAAACAATCAGTGCTTTCACGCAACATAAAGGAAAAAAAAAAAGTCATTCTGCTTCTGTAAGAACAAAAAATTTCAGGTATTATTAAGATTTATGTTATATGCTAGTTTAACTAATATTATAATATAATATATTAACTCAAAATTTGAAGGGAAGCATTCCAAAGCAGCCTTTAGAATGGGACGGTTTAAGATTTGGGCGGTTAGATGATGGCTGGGGACCACTATCCACTAGTGAGTGTAAACCGTGGATAATTCCTATTGTTCTAGTGTTTCGCTGGGAGAAAAAGGGCTGGAGAGGAAGCACTTCCACAAGCAATTCCCTAGGAATTCACTGGAGAAGGTTGAGGCCGCATGCTAGAAAGAATGTAGTGGAATTTGGTTCGGCCAGAGCAAGTTTCTGCAGCGGTAACCGGAAGGAAATGGGGAGACTTTCAGCACAGTTGTTGAAGGGAAGGATTTGATTTCTGTAAAGGAAGATTTATGCATTTCCTTTTTGGAAGGAAGGCTAGTGAAAGCAGTGTAATTCTGATTCTGTGAAATACATTGAAGTACGTAAACTTGCAACTCATTGTAAAAACATTTGTTAAGATTTAAAAATGATTAATATGAAATTTTATGATCAATTGTAGTTTGATATCAGGGTGAGTATGAATTGATGATATGGTGAAGGAAGTTTAAGAGAGGAAATTTAAAAGATAGAAAAAAATAAGAATCCTACATTTCCCTAATCTTTTATACTAGTTCTATTCAGTAAGGTTCTTATGCAAATTATAATTTAGGGTGATATCGATTATAAAGCCTTAAGCAAAGATGAGGCTTTGAAGTGACTTATAATAGAAGAAGAATAAGAAATAAAGGTTTGGAAGAAGCAACCCGTTTAGAAGGTAAGTAATGCAAATTAAAGTCTTAAATATAATTCTTATTAATTTCTACATTGTATGTTGGTATTTGCATGAATGCAAGAAAAATATGCATTACAAGTAATTTTCTGCTAAAGGATGTTCCTAACCTAGTTTCCATATATGAAAGATATCTTATGTATTTGAATCACGAGACTTTCAAATAAGAGTTGTTATGTTTTATTAAAGATTTTGTTAGTTAGAAATATTTTGGAAAGAATCTTCATTCTTAACATATGCTATATTGTTTCATTACAATTTACACAAATGGGTAGCATATAAAGATCTTTATAAAAGCAACAATACAAGTATGAGTTATGTCATAAAATTATATTGAATATCAATTTAACATAAAGTTTGGCAATAAATATGATGTATGACTTACAAGGATAGTTGGGACAAAAGGGTTCCCAAATATGTAACTACCTTATAAGTGGGGCAAAAGGGACCCCAAAAGAAATGATACA